CTCCTGTCATGTTTGTTTGTTGCCGTTTCTCTGCTGCTGTCAGGTTTGTTTTGGTCATGGTTCTGTTTTTGCTTCAGTTATGATTTTTGTTTGCTGCTTTGGACTGTTTGTTTTGGATTTAGTTTTCTCTGTTCCAATACACTTCTTCAAATACACCCTGCTCCTCCCTCTTGCCTGCTTTTTGGGTCCAACACCACCTTGCAACGTGACAAAGGGATGTCGATTGTCGAATTATAATATTCTGTACATTTAGTTGAAAAACATATTTGAAGATGACAGAGAGGCAAACTGAAAGTGGTATTTAAATGTAATCTTGTGATTGATTTTGAAAAGTGTTTTGGAATGACATGTTGTTAGGACAAGATAGGTTGGAGGAACAGTAGCACTCGACTGCTCGTGTTGGCAACTGATGATGGATTCCACATGGCCGGAGATGGAAAACTGGCTGGTATCCTGGAACCAAATGATGAACAGTGCCACATGAAAAACAGCCTTTACACCAAGAGCAATGAAATGGTATGTGTGGGCACACGTGGTGATGGGCATTCAACAGCAGGGTCTTTGTCACGCCTACTTAGTGTAGTGCACCAAGTAAGTTGATTCATTGAGTATATAATATCCACCAATTTGTTGAAAGTGGTTGAACAACAAGAAGGTATGTTATTCCGAGCTGATAAAATGTGCTCTTACAAATGCTGACATTAAACTGGCCGAATGTGTTTTAGAGCAGCAAACTTTTTTGCCCCACAGACCGGTTTAATGTCAGACAATATTTTCAGAGACCAGCCTTTAAGGTGTGGCGGATAAATACAACACAATAATATATCACCTGCATGATACTGAGGTATTTTCCAAACATAAGAAACACGAGTCAAGGAACGTTCTATTTGGCCGCAACACCACCTGGTCGCTCTGGTAACGTTTAAACGTGCCTTCAAAATAAGATACACCGCAAATACAAAGTGCATGAAAAATACGACTCACCATCGCCACATATACAGAGTGGGCTTGGTGCGTGGGAATCTCCCATTGAGATAAATCTGTATTTTAAGTAGGACTCTGAAACTGTCGATTAAATGTAGTCTTGTTTTTCTTGGAAGTCGTAGGCTCCTCTTCTGTCTCCTGGCTGGACTTTTTCCCCTTCCTAAAGAAATTTTCCCATAACGTTTGTTTTTTACTCATTTTGCTCTCTCCTGGGTTTCATTTTAGCGGTAACCTATCACGTGACCGAGAAGCGTGCCTTGACCTGCATCAAGAGTGACATACTGATGTAACAGAGAATCCGATAATTTTTCAAAATAAAACATCTTTCAGTTTGTGAAATAAATAAAACTGAACTAATGTACGTTATTTATTCTTTCTGTGCGGCTCGGAAACCAATGACTCACGGACCGGTACCGGTCCGTGGCCCAGGGGTTAGGGACCTCTGTTTTAGAGCGTATTGCAGTCTTGTATTTGCTATTGTATAATTACAATATAATGTAATGGAGGATTTAACCCTTTCATGCACCCTGTAACCTGACAATGTAACAAGATAAACTGTCCACTGTAGTAACTGCTGTCCCTGAAAGGGTTAATGTGGTGTGTGTCGCATTTAATGTGGGATGGCTGTGTTTGTTGCGAGCTGATTGTGAGTCTGTAGGCGACATGTTTGCAGGAGAAAGGCATGATACCTGCGGAAACAAACACAAGCACATGAAAAACCGTCACACAAAAAAGTCAACAGTACTACCAACAACGTGCCACGCCGCTGCCCTTTAATTTGTATGCAGTATACGATAGCAATACAGTATGGTCAATTGTAATTACATGATAAACATAATGCAGTAACTCATGAGTGACCACTGTAAATGTTTCATCATATCAATGTCAAGGACTACCCCTCCGTTGGACAAGTAGCGATGCAGTTGGAAAAAGAACATATTCAACCCATATTTGCTGTGACAAAAGATGTGGAAAAAATGTACAAGGTAAAATAATCGACATACTCATCAATATGTATTTCATTTCAGCATTATAGTGTGATGAGGTGTTGAATGAATTTGAAGCATATATTCCATTTTATTATAGCAACTCTCCAAAATGATTCCGAAATCGGAGGTGGGAGTTCTTTCCCAAGATTCTAGAAATGTTGTTCAACTGATTGAAAATGCATACAAAGTAAGTTTTGATTTTTTTTTTCCTTTTTCCTGAAGAGAAATAAATTCTTGTTGGTTTTTTTTCTGTATGTAAAACTTGCATAATCTCTCGATTGCATTTCCAGAGGTTGTCCTCCAAAGTGACCCTAACCCATGATACGCTCCCTGAAAATGTAAGAGTTGTCTACACTCCACGTTGTGATGATCCAAAAGAAGAAGGGGATAACAAAGGAGTTTGTGACAATGTACATGTGGGACAGAAGGTCAGTTCCTTGTGGTGTTCGAAAGCTTGATTGTATTAAATCAATTGAAAAAAATGATGGTAATGAACATATCGTAAGTCAATCAGCAGGAAGGTGCTAAGCCATGTAATATTTTATAGGTAACAAAAGCTTAAACTCTCTGGAAGACTAGAAAGCAGGGCAAAAAAACAGCACAGCAAAAGACAGTGTTCACAATGCAATTATTTTGGTTCCTTGTCTCAAGTGAATGGCACCAAATCCTGTGACTGACTTAGATTAAATGTTCCACACAGAAAACGTGTGGAAAAAAAATACACACACACACACACACACATTATATATATATATATATATATACACACACACACACACACACACATATATACACATATATATATATATATTCCCCTCCCCGGATTTCTATG